CCAAGCTGGGGTCATCAATATGTACTTACTACATCAATCTCTCTCACTTCCGCTGATGGATTGAAGGAGCATCTTCGTTAGTTGCTTTGCAAGGGTGGATCGGAGGCTGAGGTGGCTGGGAGCGGGAGAAGCCGTCGACGGCGAGCAAGTCGGATCGCCCTGCTCCGTTGGGGTGGGCTTGTGCCGCTTAGATGGCCGCCCAAACTGGATGGATGTGCAAATCAAGCTCCCGGCAGGCCGGGATGACACAGCTTGGCCTGTATACTTCTTCCTCTGTCTAAGCAGAATGTGACTTTCACAATCCTACCTACAAGCAAGCAAGAGCAGCACCTGAACAGAAACATTGGTATCCTCCGAGCTCACCATCATTTCATTTCACTTCAATTCCTCCCCAAGAGCAGATTAAGCAGTTGAGCTACACACACTAACGTTAAAACTGACTGAGCGTCCTCCAAGGGTCAGAATCATACCGAGCTAAAGCATCCTTGCGTCAGCCAACTCCACAACCACTGGCCGGTCACTGAGGCATGCAAGTTCCTCATGGCCAGAGCGTATGTACCGCCGGCACCATCGACTCCGACAGGCCATGATCATACAAGTACCTCAAGGCCGGAGCCAATTGCGCTGCTAGATCTAGGGTTTAGTTTAAATTCTGTTTAAGTTTGTTAACTTTTGTTTACAACAAATATCACCGGCTCGTTTAAAATCATCATTCAAAAACATGTAAGATAAAAACCAACTGGGAGCGCCGGTGCGGGCAGCCGCCTGTCCTGTATACTTGCCGGACGCTCTAGTGGGAGCGCCGGTGGAGATGCTCTAAGTTTCCACCTATGACCAAACTTAGCACCCCACCTATTGTCAACATGAGCATTTGATATGTTCTGGAAATTCTTAAATTTATTGGCCCGAGCCCATTTATTCGAACACAACATGCAGGTTAACCAATGGATTTTGCAATATGCAACTCACGGAAGCCTTGTGAGCATGAGTTGCGCACCGTGCTCTGGGTGCAGCAGGCCGATGGGGAACGGCGCGTGTGTGTAGGACGGCGAGAGCTCGAAGGAGAAGCGCTGCAGAATCATGGCGATCCCCATCTTGGCCTCGAGCATCGCGAAGTTCTGGCCGACGCAGGTCCGCTGGCCCCAGCCGAATGGAAAAAAGGGCAGCGCGTCGCCCGACACCCCTGCCTTGGAGATCCCATTGGCGAACCTCTCTGGCCTGAACTCGTCGGCGTCCGCGCCCCAAACATTCTTGTCGTGGTGGAGGCACAGGAATGGCACCATGAACAACATGCCCGCCGGGTACCTGACACCGCCAAGGTCCATGGGCTTACACGTCTTGCGATGGACCGACGTCAGCGGCGTGTACAGCCGCAGCACTTCGTACAAGACCATGGTTACGATTTTTAGGCGAGTTAAGCCATCATAATCTGGCGTCATTCCGTGGGCGAAGACATCCAGGACCTCCTCCCTGGCACGGTCCTGCCAGTCCGGGTGCATGCAGAGCACGATCATGGTCCACGTTAGCAGCAAGGACGTGGTCTCCATGCCCGCGAAGTAGAACAGTTTGCACTCTCCGATCAGGTCTTCCGTCGTGATGCCGGCATCTCCCGGCGTGCAGTGTGCCATGTTGGACTCCAGCAGCAGCCCGAGAAGATCATCACCACTCGTAGCTTCGCCGGCTTTCAAGGCCTTCTCTCTTTTCGCGATAATGCCTTTTAGGACCCTCTCGATCTCCGCAACAATCTGATTCATCCTTCGGTTGCCTTTGGTTGGCAAGAACCTGCACATAAGAAAATGCATTAGCACAGTCAGAGCAATTCAATCTAGTAATATTGTTGTGCTAAGCCATGGTAAACGCCAAAGGAGAATGAACTCACAGGTAACCAGGGATATGCATCTTGTCCATGGCCTGCACGATGAGCTCGATCTGCTCACCCTGAAGCTGGAATACCTTCCTGCCTTCATGGTAACTGCTGCCGAATGCGGCCCGTGAGATGACATCCCCTGTCAGATTCTTCATATCAGGCCAGACATCTACCTCGCATGGCGCATCACCGGCGGCTAGAACCTCCCATCTCTGCACCAACTCCGTGCAACATGCGGCGAAAGCCGGCAACATGCGCTGAAAATGGAACGGAGATTTTTGTTACGGCCTGAACTTGTTGTCAATGACAGAACACAAGTATTATAACCTTGAGCTTCTCGAGATGGAAGGCAGGGGTGATGATCTTCCGGTGCTTAACCCATTTTTCACGCTCATGGCTACCCACACCGTGGTGCAGCATCCTTTGAAGTCGGCCCAGGTTGAGCTTCTCAAGGTGACCCAACTTGTTGGACAGAACTTCACGCACCAGTTCAGGCTCGGTGATGGTCACTCTAGGCACCGGTCCAAACCAAGTGATCGACATTTTACCTGTTAATTTTGTTAGACAAATACATCGAAGCTTGTTACTAGAAGTTTACGTGGATACACGTTTCCAATTTCATTTCTGTTATAGTCTGTTTAGGTGTAAGACATTTTCTGTTCATTTAGGTGGACTATTTGTCAAGTGGGGACTATTGTCAATCTGTTTGTTGCGTGTGGGAGACTACTAGTGTGAGATGCCATGCCACCAAATTAAGATGTTGGTAGATCAACACTGGATTTCATACCCAAAAATAATTTATTTATTTTAGAGAAAAGACATTTTAGCCAACTTTAAATTAATAATCGCATTTCCGGCATGCATTATAGAGCCATTAAAGCCAAACATAATGAAAACTAAATCCTTCTATGGACACATTTGGTTGTTTTCAGGTGAAGTACGATGTGGCGAAGGTAAACTAATAATGCGGCTAAAAAGAAACATTACGATCAAGAAAAAAGAAAGCAATGAAAAGTACACGCACCGTGCTCCTTGATGGTCTGGTGAAACAGCGGCATCGCCCGCGGCACGACGTCATGGCTGCCCAGTGGCATGGTCTGGGACCTAGCTTCCTTATGGAGACGCTCCATAAATGGTGCGTCGCCAGCGACAGAGTGGTATGCCCTGCCCCGGAGGCCCTGCGCCCGCAGCTCCCGCTCCAGGTGCCGGGGCCTCCACCACGCCCACTCCAGCGCCCTCACGGCGCACCACACCAGAACCGCGCCAGCCACTGCGTAAACATACACCCAGCGCTGGTGCTCCCATGGAAAAGAGTCTTCTATCACGCTCGTCGCCATGCTTTCACCTTCCTTATTTTGTGGGGAACAGCTAGCCCAAGGGATATGGGAATGATGTTTTTCCTTTGCTGAGTTGATCAAGTGGGTGTATGAGTGGTGGCTGCTATATACAAGTACTATGTTTGTTCTACTACTCCCTCTGATCCATATTCGTTATCTTAGATATGTCTAGATACGAATCTATCTGATCAGAGAGAGTAGATTGCAAAAATGTCTTACATTGTAGACAGAGGTAAGTATAATCTACTCGGGTGCTCACGTTAGAAACCAAAACCGGACATCAAGGAAAGTGTCTGTACGATCACGTGAATTACACGTGCAACCCTATCGGTTATCGTGTGTGCAGCTTTGTAGCTTTGTCTTTTGGCCCGTCGCATTTGCTGGGAGGACACGAATGCATGGGAGTACGCGCTTGGCCAACAGCCGAGCACAGAGGCACATCACATATGATGGATAGTTTTTTGTGTTTTGTTTTGTTGAATTCCCGCTGTACGTGTTCCCTTTTCATAGATTCCTTAAGCACATGGACAACAAATAGAGGCGTTGGGGACTACTCCTATTAGATAGAGGCACATTTTCACACCGTTGGTACCGCGTACACGTCAACAATGGCGCCCGTGGAGACGGAGAAATCCATTACTCTTCCACGAACACACATTGTTCTCGTCCCGCTCATGGGGCAGGGCCACACCACCCCCATGGCCGACCTTGCGTGCCTCATTGCGGGACGCGGCGTGCGAGTGAGCCTCGTCACCACGCCCGTCAACGCTGCGCGCCTGCGGGGACTAGCCGACAGGGCGCGGAGCGCCATGTTGCCGCTGGAAATTGTCGAGCTCCCATTCCCGCCGGCCGACGACGGGCTGCCCCGGGGCAGCAGCGACAATAGCGACAATGTCCTCCAATTGTTCCTGTCCCTCTATAGGCTAGCCGGGCCACTCGAGGCGTACGTGCGCTCGCTGCCCTGGCGCCCCAGCTGCATCATCTCCGACTCCTGCAACCCGTGGACGGTCGGCGTCGCCAGGAGCGTTGGGGTCCCTCGGCTCACCTTCACCGGCCCTTCCTGCTTCTACTCGCTCTGCGACTTCAATGTCGTAAAGCACGGGCTTCTTCACAGCGGCAACGTCGTGCCGGGCATGCCGGTGCGAGTGGAGTTGAGCAAGGACACATGGGCCGCTGCCTTCTTAACTTGCATGCCTGCGTGGGGGAAGTTCGTGGAGGAGGTGAGGGAGGGCATCCGCACGGCCGACGGTGCCGTGGTGAACACGTTCCGGGGCCTTGAGGAACAGTTCGTCGCATGCTACGAGGCAGCGTTGGGCAAGCCGGTGTGGGCGCTCGGGCCCTTCTTCCTCAATAGCCGGGACGAGGAGGCACGCACCATAGACCAGAGCACGGTCATCGCTTGGCTGGACATGATGGACCAAAGCACGGTCGTCTATGTCTGTTTCGGCAGCCTCGCGCAGATGCTTCCCAAGAAGCTGTACGAGATCGGACACGGCCTCGAGGACTCTGGGAAGCCATTCCTTTGGGTGGTGAAGGAGTCCGAGACGGTTTTGCCAGAAGCAAAAGAGTGGCTCCAAGCCCTCGAGATGCGCACGGCAGGGCATGGGCTCATAGTGCATGGCTGGGCGCCTCAGGTCGCCATCCTGTCACACCGCGCCGTAGGTGGCTTCATGACCCACTGCGGGTGGAACTCGCTGCTGGAGTCCGTCGCGCAAGGCGTGCCTGTCATGACGTGGCCTCACTTCGGTGACCAGTTCCTCAATGAGCAGCTTGCGGTGGACGTACTTGGCGTCGGCGTGCCAGTTAGGCCGTTCGATGGCGAAAAGGCCGTGGACCTTGTAGTGCGGGGGCACATTGCACGAGCAGTGTCGGAGCTGATGGGCGATGGGGCAGTGGCAGAGGAGAGGAGGAGAAAGTGCAAGGAGTACCGGGAGAGAGCTCACGGAGCCATGGCGAAAGGAGGCTCGTCGCATGGAAACCTGACACTGCTATTACGCAGCTTCATGCGGAGTGGCAGCAAGGAACAGGTTAATTCCGTTTGCTCTGCTAGGTGAATTGTGAATCGTGCTCAAGAATATCCCTAGTATCAATGCTCAAGAATATCCCTACCACTTGGTTATTTTGCCCCCTTTACCCCCTTCACCTCATTCTCGCCACTCTTTATTTTCTGCTGTCGTTACAAATGTAGTTAATATACTTGCTAGTGTTGTATTCATGTTTGGTAGCATGTACCATGTCTGTGTCTATGGTCTCTCTTCGGTAACCATCGTCTAGGGAACTTACGGTCACTGGCGGGCAATCGTTGGGAGGAATGGCTCCATCTCGTTAGGAGACTGATGAAGATTCAGTTTTCCCCACAACCCGATGAATTATGCTGGCAGCTTACTAGGTCTGGAGTATTCACAGTTAAATCAATGTATATTGATGTCATTAACTCCAGCCTCATTCCTACCTCTAAGCATGTCTGGGCTGTCAAAGTTCCCTTGAAAATAAAAGTGTTTATGTGGTTTGTTCATAAACAAGTTATATTAACCAAGGACAACCTGACTAAGCGTAATTGGACAGGATCTACTAGGTGTAGTTTCTGTGATAGGGATGAGACGATTAAGCACCTTTTTCTTGATTGCCCGCTAGCCAAAGTTCTTTGGCAGACAGTCCGCATTGCATTCAATATTACGCCACCTCCTTCCATTAACGCGTTATTCGGGGTGTGGCTTAATGGGATTGAGCCCGATCTAGCGAGACAAATTCGTGTCGAAGTGTGCGCGTTGCTGTGGTCTATCTGGAATTGCAGAAATGATTTGGTTTTTAATAGAATATCATGCATACATTTTTTGCAGGCACTACTAGGAAAAGGCCTACTAATGGCGCACTGGTTTTGCCTACTAATGGCACATTACCAGTGCGCCATTAGTAGCACGCCACTAGTATATCTTACTAATGGCGCACCACAGGTGCGCCATTAATATCTGGTATACTAATGGTGCACCAACTAGTGCGCCATTAGTATGTAACAGCATGCACCATTAGTGTGCCTCCCGGGGGGCATACGTAAGCATGACTTTGTCATACTAATGGCGCATTCTCTGTTGATGCGCCATTAGTATCCTTTGGCATACTAATGCCGCACCTGGTGGTGATGCGCCATTAGTATGAATATTTGGTTTTTTTTTCTTTTCTGATTTTTGCGCAGGTTACAAAATATATTATTAGACAGAACATAAAATATATTATTAGACAGAATATAGACAGCAGCACACAACAACATCAGATTCATCGAATACAATACAAGATTAGTCTCCGAGTACAATTCATCATATTAGTCTCCGAATTCAAAAGACCGAACAAAGATAAAACATTACAAGTCTCAAGACCGCGAGTATCGAGTTTGTCTTCATATTACAAGTCGATATCGATCATCTAAACTACCATCACATAAAAGAGAGCTGTGGTCATCACGATGAGCATCATCGCGATCAAACTGGTCTTCATCCGGTTCCTCCAACGCTCCCTCCTCTCTCCCGCTAGATAGCGGGCGTATCTAGATTCGGCCTCCGCCCTAGTGGTGTACCCTTTGTAACTATTACCGCTGAAATGGTGAACCTGTCTCCGACACTCCTCCCAGTCGTCGTAGACTCCGGGAACCTTACCCTTGTACACGACATACGACGACATCTCTATGCACAAGCCAAACAACAGACAATACATAAGCAATATGTAAGTATGCAACAAAAGGATCGGAAGAGAAAATCAAGACATTAATAGCACGATTCATGGTCCTACTAATAAATAGCATCGATTACATCTAAGTTGAACGACTGTCCAAACCAAATAGACATACGAATTCATTAAAGTATAATTATAACATGAGCCAATCAATGTTTCAGAACTACACATCACTACTTTCGACTCGACTCATCGGACAGGAACGTGGATGAAGCCGCCGTCTGTCGTGATGGTCATGAAATCGCGGTCGTTGTCACCCTGCATTTGTAGCATTTCATCTATCTCACTGTTAGACGGTTGATATCTGAGGAAGAACTACCCCGAGGTATGAAGGACATCTTGATGGATGATGTCCGCAAACTCCGACTGGACGCGAAAGAATTCTTGTCTGAGGTCCGCGTCCTGGACTGCCGACAAGCTCGCGGCCCAATCTTTGAGATTATCTGGTAGTAGAAGTTGATGATGGTCTCTTACGATCGCCCGCATGTGATGGAGGGCATAGTAGGCATCCTTCTGACCGCCAGGCGGCTGCTTGACGCAGCAGAACTTCGTATTGTGTGAGAACATGTGCTTGCCGTACTTACGAACTGCCCTGGTGAAGGTGCCTCCAGATTTGGCGTAGGTGGGGAGAACATCATCAATAACTTTCTTGACATTTGTGTAGTCTATCTTGGAGTTACGGTTCGGGTCTAAATACGTGGCCATGGAATATTTCGGGCTTAAGAGGATGAGTGTGCAATGTGTGTCACTGCACAGAACACGGAATGTTAGAGAAAAAAGAACGATCGAAATCTAAGAAATCATATGTTACGGGGCGGTTAAGGGATGACTTACTCGAGAAAGTAAGCCACAAGGAAGTTATCCTTATCTGGGTTTGCCAGAATGACGCCTTCGAGGTGTGAACTCGCAACTTGGCGGTCCCCAGCACTGCTCAAGTGCTTGGCACGCATGTAGAAGGGGTCGACTATCACGATGTCCGGGGTCTTGTCTCTAATGATCCGCATCTCCATACTCAGCGAAAACAGCCGAACGAAGGTGTAGTGCAGCGGATGAAGGTTAAACATAGCAAAGATGTCATCAAACCGCAGGACGATCGTACCCCCGATGTCGCCATCCACAAAGCCCTTGCCCTCTGGCACCTTGGCCACGAAAACCGTGTATGCCACATCCTTCTCTCTAAGACGCCGCTTCTCCAAAGAAAGAACACTGTCGTGCAGACTCCGCATAGCACCGGTTGCAGCATTCAGCATATTTGGCGGTAGCATCGCCCTACCCGCCACATGCACCCTCCTCGAGATATCCTTAGGTGAAGGTGGCCCGTCCTGAGCATGGATCAAACTCGGTGCCGGCTGGCTCGCACCGACGCCCTTGTTAGTCTTTCGTTTCCGTCCCTTCTTCTTGATCTCCTGTAATGGGACCGAGTTCTGCTCACAGACCGCCTTCTTGAGCGTGTTGGGGCTGATAATATTTCTCACCTCAGCTATCTGAGGCTCGGTGAAGGCGGGAGCTGGAGGCGTGTCATGAGAACTGAACACCAGACGACGCCTGTTGCAATTGGATTTCTCCGCCGTACCAGCTAGATCGCGGTCGTCTAGGTTGGGTTCTTGAGAAAGAGGCCCGCAGAACTCGTCAGCGTACCCATGTTCGGCAAAGTACTTATCAACTTTGGTAAATGTACCGTCGTCGTTGTCGTCTTCATCCGGATCCTGTGCCATAGGGCTGTCCGGATCCTGTGCCATAGGGATGTCCGGCAGGTCCGGTAGTGTTGCGGTGTTCTTGCCATGGCTTGGCGCCGGCACGACTGGTGGTCTTGTCTGTGGGGTGGTGTCCCCCGCCCCCAAACGAATCTGGCTCTTCGGCCAAAGTAGGGGCCAGTTTACGCAGGTGCTGAGGGTCATCTCATCTTCTTCGTCGGCCCTAGCGGGTCGAATCAGAGGTAACAGCTCATCACAGCCTGGCAGCACGCGAACCACTTCAACCCTATACATTGTGGGTGGCATCGAATTACCGTGGAACATGGGGTTGCCCGGTTGAACGATTCTGCCCTTGGCGACATCGACCAACTCGGCGCCCACGAAATGCAGAAGAGTGCAAGGAACATCGGCGGTGCCCTGCGAAAACATGTACATGGCGTCAGGGTTGCCCAGTCAAAGGCAAGGAGATGAAGTCATCCGCCGAGAGGCTTGGTTACCGTGATGCCGTCGAGCTCGGCTAATGTCGAGGCACCACCAACGGCGGGAGTGCAACTGACGGAGGGGGCGCTTGCTGGTGAGGTGCCGGCCGGCGTACACCCGGGTGCATTAAGCTCCAATGCCCGTGCCGGCGCCGGAGACACGAATACCGCCTCCGCCGGAGACACCAATGGCGCCGCCTGCGCACTGTGCGAGTTGCTGGCCGTGAAGCTGGGAACCGGGGGAGGCCCCTGCTGGCCGCCCGCAATCCACGTCGTCAGCCCATGAATCAACGTAGGCACCATGGCGTTGAGCATCGTTCCAAGTTGTTGTTGCATTTGCTCTTGGACAAGCTCCGGAATCTGCGCCACCTGTGCCTTGAGTTCTTCAACCTCGCGCGTCTGGCTTTCCGAGCTGGTCTTTTTCTCCTTCCGCACACCAGCGGTATAGTATGACCCCCATTTTGTGGACAAGCCTTTGCCGGCCACACGACCAGCTGATGTCGGCTTAGTGAGCTTATCCTTGTTTTTCGTTACGTTCAACGCCCTATTTAAAGGGGTGTCGAAAGGGGAGCTCTTAGACGATCCCGCGCTACTGCTTTCAGTGTCCTGCGAAAGGAACGTGAACCATTTAGAAATATTGGAGATTAATTAGAGTGCAACCATATGGAGCTAATTACGCGGGGGTGTATTCCTTACCAGAAGAAGCTCAAGCGCCCTGGTCTTCGGATCCGTAGTAAGCTCCTTTGTTATCGAGTCCTCCTTGTACCGGGCCCTGACATAGTTCCTGATCTGCTTGTCACCGTTGTATTCCTCAAAGCGGGCGGTAGGCCTTGCTCGGCACGCTCCGCGTCCTCCTTGTCCCATATAGGCTCCGGCACTCTGTAACCGCCGGGACCGAGTTTGTGTTCCCCTAAGTTCAACTCCCGCATTTCTTTCCCCCACTGACTTGATTCGGAGGTTTCACTGCTCTCGCACTTGATCTTGAACTCCTTGTACTCATCTTCGCTCATCAAAGGATATTTCGCCTTGATCTTCTCATAACTATCACCTTTATCAATCATTCTCTTTACCGCGCTTTTCCAAGTAGACAGGGTCGTGCTCATTTTCGTGAGGGCGGCACTGTTCACTTTATTCCCTGAGAGGCGTGTGTTTTCA